CCAGCCTCTGTTTCTTCTACCCCCAGCACAGGCCCAGACCCTACCTGCTCCCTCCCAGGTGAGTCAGTAGCCCCTGTGTGGACTTGATTAGAAAGGGAGCCATGAGCCCACATTACTTCCCTCTAATTTCTAAAAGCCAGATTATCAGAGATAATGGACGTGAAACTGCCTTCATATAGTGGGGCCTTGATTGATTTTTGTCAAATAAATGAGCGAATAAACTCTATGGTGGTACAGAACAGCAGCAGTATGATACTAGCCATCTATTTCACTGCCAAAGCATAAATGGGCCGGGTTTTTGCAGAGAACACCACCCTGTTCTTACAGTTCCCACTACAAAGCCAGGGAAAACTTTTTAAGTTTTAATTTCTGTCAAAATTATACATGTACAAAAATATACATTACATATATATGAAATTATAAACAACCATCTATTTTAAAGAACCAGACTCAGCTGGTTCTACAAGGTTTGCTAAGACAAAAAGCAGTCTTCAGTTACCTCCCCCATTTCCCCTCCACAGAGGTAACCATTTTCAGCTTTTCTAGATTTATTTTAGTCCTTATCACCTTATTTCCCACCATAAGTTTGTATTGTTACTTTTTTGCGGGTATTTGTTTTATGCTTCATCTGTTTACTTCCCACTATGGAAAAGTCGGGCTTAGCTCCTTTTCTTTCTCTTGTCATGCCAAACACATGCACCCTGCCACCTTCCCATCCTCCCGGCACAACTACAGTTTTACTTAGATCAATAGTCAGTGCTTACAATATCATGACCAGGTATGCTATTCAGGTCTGAGCCTTCATAGCAAATTTTGATTGCTTTTCCTTTCCTGAACAGTCTTTTATTTTCCCTGGAGTTAAATTTGTCTTTTGTTTGCATGTGTGTTGGATATTCCATGTACTTATCACCAGTTCAACCCCAAGCTCTCCAAAGTTTGTCCATGTTACCTTTCATTCACATCAGATATTCTATCAATTTATCTTCTTGAAGGCGTTTTTCCATGGCCTCTGGACTGCTGGGGGTGGATGGTTTCTTTCCCTGGTTGGTGCATGGCTGTTGTCCTGAGATGTCCCTTCAGCATCAAAGTGGGAATTCCCTTCTCCTCTCTACTGCATTGGATCTCCTCTTTGCTGTATTCCGTTCTTCCTCTTTTTCGGTTTATACTGAAGGAGCAGCGCATCATCAGTAGCTTCCTGAGAAACAGGGGTGTGGGATATACATTTTTTGAGACCTTGCCCTTCTGTAATTATTACCCCTCAGAATTTTGAAGGCATGCTTCTGCTGCCTTCTAGCTTCTAGCTATTTTTAAGAAGTTATTTATTAGTTCTATTTCTTATTTGTTATTGAGAAGTTATTTATTAGATTATTACTCCTAACCATTAGAACTTAGTTATTTTTGGGAAGTTGAACACTGTTCTAACTCCGAATTCTGTGTATACTGGCCCTTTCCTTCTTCCTTCCCACCCACCCTCTGGAAACGTATAGCCTCTTATGTTTGTCCCATGTTTTGAAATTTCACATTGATGTGCCTTGGTTTGGGTATTTTTATCCATTTTTGTGGGTACTCAGTGTCCCTTTTGATCTGGAGACTCATGGCCTATAGATCTGGACGATCTCGAATTGGTACTATAGGTTTTTCTGTTTCTGGAATTCCTATTACTCAGACGTTGGAACCACTGAACTGGTTTTTAAATTACCTTGTTTTCTTCTTTTCCATCATTCGAGGAGATTTCCTCAGCCCTTCAAACTTACTACTGAGTTTCTCAATTCTGCTTCCATGTTTTTAATTCCCTAAAGCTCTCCCTTGTTTTCAAATGTCCCACTCCCCTTTTATAACATCCTTTTCTTGTTTCTTGGATATAACGTATTCTTTCACATCTCTGAGGATGCTGAGGTTATTTTAAGGTTGTTCATCTTGGATAGTCTGTTTCCTTCAGGTTGCACCCCTGCCCCCTTGGTTCTTTTGGTCTCTGTCCTTCATGCTGGAAACTTCCCTGAGGAGCCTGGTGATCCCTGCATATCTGCTCATGCTCAGGAATGGGGCTCTAAAAAACCTGTTGTTGGTGCTTGTCAACCAGGAACTTTTCTGCAGGGTAATCTAGCTTTGCCACCTGTTGTCTAACCACTTGTTGGGGAAGACTCCAATGTCACCACATTTAACTTCTCTGCATAGATTTCTCTCCATCACAGCAAGATTGCCCATAGAAGTGACCAAGAGCTATTCTGGGTACAAAAGCCAGGTCTGAGATTAAACAGAGGAAGAAGAGATTGAGGGAGGCCATCCTGAAGGAGGTGGCATTTGAACCAGGTGCTGAGCAGCTCATTCACACTTCAGCTCAACTGAATTCAAATTCACATGTTCTGCATAGGAGCTGGCATTGGGTTAGGGTAGGAGGTTACTGCAGCAGAGAGGGTTCCAGACAGCATCTGGATGTGAATCCTGGATCCTCAATTACTGACTGTAATCTGCTTAGGTTCTATGATCTTCACCTTCTCACTTTATAAATTGGAGTTAATAACAGTATCTTTCTCAGGAGTTATTGGGTGAATTAATTAAAAGCAAATGTGCATAGAAAGTAATCAAGGAACCACAGTGTAGTATGTGTAGCTAGATGGTGGCTCGGTATCCAGACTGTGCCAGAAGGCCAGGATTTGAGCTCCGACTCTGCTACTTAGTAGCTGTGTGAACTTGGGTAAGTTACTCAACCTTTCTGGGCCTCAGTTTACTCATCTGTACACATCTGAGATATTATATTATGAGGATTAAATGACATAATACATATAAAGAACTTACAGGACCCGGGACATAGCAGTAATACTTGTTATGAGGACCACAAAACATTAGGAGCTCAACACCTGAACCAGACTGCTGGGTGCAGATCCCATGTCTGTCCCTCATAGCCAGGTGTCCTTGGTTGAATTCCTTAATCTTCCTTTGCCTCAGTTTCCCTAACTATAAAATAGATATAATAATAGCACCCACTGTGTAGGGTTGTTGTGAGGATAAAAATGAATTAAAACATGTAAAATGCTTGGTACCTATAAATGATGGCTCGTCACCTTTGTATCGGATTCAGTTGTTTTCCATTTGTTTTCTCCTTCCCTAGTACATTCCACTCCATCCATGGAAGATTCTGTCCCCAGTGAGCCTCACAGGGCACACAGCTAGGATATCCTGGGGACACACATTGAACCCAGGCCTGCCTGGCTTCAAAGACTCAGCCCCTTCGCTTCTAACAGTCCACTCCATCCTCTGGTGGCAAAGCCGAGGAGGAAGAGTAACTCCTGTGGCCTTCCCGGAGGAGGTGGCAGTTCAGCCAGGTGTTGCTCATACGCTGTTCTTCCTGCACTTGCATCAGGAGGCGGCCTTGGAGGCACCTGCTTCCTGCCAGAGGCACAGACTGCTACCCGCCCCCCCCCACCCCCGCCACCACCTGAGGTGGTGGGAAGAGAAGCCGGGCTCTTCCATGGCTGTCACCTGGCAGGCCCCTCCGGCTATGACAGGTGTGTAGCTCAGAGCCCAGACTGATGGCAGTAAGGACGGGAAGCTGCCGTCCTCACTTGGTGGCTTGATAATTGGATATTTCTATAATGACAAATTACAGCTGTTTCTCTTGTCATCAGTGTAAAACATTTCCGAAGCAGTGATTTCCCAGGAGGGGCCGCAGTTGTTATCCAGTTAAGACTCTGGAAACGCCCAGCATAGGGGACGTGGAGCACGGCTGAGTGGAGCTGTGTTTCTGCGCCGCCAGCCTCTGGGTATTCAGCTCTGGCGGTGTGTGCAGAGGGATCAGTCTCCTGTCATAATATTATCACTGTTAATTCCGCGCAAGTGTCATGTTGAGATGGGCTTGGAGGCTTGCAATTTGTTACTTGGCTCCAACCTGTACTGTTTTTTAATTTCACCAAAGGACATTGTAAAACATAAACATCAATGTTAAAGTTCAGTGATTCTTAGCTTAAAAATGCTAAGGTGAAGAATAATCCTGGAAATTTCTCAGGCCATCCGGCCTGTTCCCTGAGCCCTGAGGTTCAGATAGGGTCAGAAACCTCCAAAATGTCTGCTTTGGCCTCCAGGCAGCCACGTCTCTGCTATTTCCCTAAACTTAATTCTCTGACAGAAGTTCTGGAAGATAGGCTGAAACCATCCTTGCCTGGGCCGTCTAGGGGCTCCACAAATGGAAGGTAAGTCCGTGGGTAGAGAGAGTATCGTGGCATTTAACTTTTCCGAATCTTTAACTTTTTTTCCTCACGTAGAGAACAGAGTTATCATGGAGATTTATGAGGGAGTGCGCACACAGCAGCTAGAACAGAGCTCGGCATATGGTGTGGGCCCCTTGTGTTAGCTACGAAGAGAGCTTTCAGAGTTGGGGCCCTTTCGGCCCTGAGAAGTATCATGAGGTAAAACTGCAAACCTCCCCAAAGGGCCAAATCATTCTCCTTGTGTTTGATTTTTCCCAAGGGAGATCTCTCTTCATGCTCTGTCCCCGCGGGCCCTGCCTCTTCCAGTTTAGCTCAGCTGTTTGCAAGGAGGGCCTTCAACCTGCAGTGTCAGACCCACCCATTCACGGAGCTGCTTCTGACTTGGGACATCCATTCAAGCAACAACAGTACTGAGTACTAAGCACTCATACCCGGTGCTGGGTGCGGAGAAGTGCAAGAAACGAGGCCTTTGCCCTCAGGGGCTTCCAGCCTGGTGGGGGAGGTGGGCCTGGAAACAGATGGTAGCCACCACACACTGTGGTAACTGAGGCGGTGTACGGACAGGGTGCCGGGGAGCGGCGGCGGCGGGGGAGGGGCGGGGGGCGGGAAGCGGCCAAGAAGCCGCCCTGGGGCTTCGAGGGCCGGCTGTCCACTGGGCAGCACAGGGGCCGTACTTCATCCAGGAGTCACCTGGGACTAATTTTCACAAGGGAATGAGCAGACAGGAGGGGTAGCACTTCCAGCCAGGGGTTTTTAAGAAGTGGCCGGGCCTCTTCTGGTTCCTCTCACCCCTTCCACGAGCTGGATGCAGAAGCCTGAGATCCCACGGGTTATGGAGCCAAAAGACGCAGCCCTGGATTTCCACGTGAGGGAAGCCTGCTTGCGGACCGGGACACCGACATTGGACTGTCCTGGAATGAGAAATAAACTTCGATTGGGTCGAGACATGGAAATTTAGGAATTTGTTATCTAGAATCATCCAAACGGATATAGATCGTCTAATCCAACTGCTGGCTTCAGGGAAGGAGCCTAGGAAACAGTGACATCCAGGTCTTAGGTGCTGGCTGGAGTTAGCTGCTAGCCAAGCAATGTGTGGGCAGGTGGGGGAATCTGGGAGGATATTTCAGGCAGAGAGAACAGAACAAATGAATCATGGAGTGTGTGCGTGCGTGTGGGCAAGGATGGTGTATGTGCACGTGTGCATGTGTGCATTGTGAGTGACAACGGGCGGCTTAGTGTTGCTGGGGTATAAAGAGTGGGGCCGAGGGCAGTAAATGAGGCTGCAGGAATCTGTAGAGGACCAAGTAGGGCCTTGTGTGCCAGGAAGTTTCAATGACTCCTGTAGATAAAGGGAGAAGCCCTGTGAAATGGCTTCCGATGGGCCATCTGACCAGCTTTGTGATGTATGAGGATCACTTTGCTGGAAGTATGGTGAGTGGATTGGAGAATACGAGACTGGAGACGGAGAGCACAGAGCAGCTAGGAGGGGAGCTGGTGCAGTAGTCCAGAGGACGAGAAGCTGGGACGCCTGGGCCCGTGGTGGAAGGGGCACAGAGACTTGGTGATTGATGGGGGAGCACCAAGCACTAGAGGGGATGCCTGCGTTTGTAAAGCCATGAGGAATTTTTACTTGTGCTGCAGGTGGATAGGAAGGGGAAAGTGCAATGACATTTCTGCGATAGGTGAGCCCTCGCTTTCATTTCCTTCCTATCTCCCTTCCTCCCTCCCTTCCCTCCTTCCTTCCTTCTTCTCTCCTTTCTTTCTTCTCCCCTTCCCCTCCCCCTCCCTCCCATCCTCCTTCTTCTTCTTCTTTTTGTTAGCCCTCTATAGCACCTACCAGATGCCAGGCACTTTTCTAAGCCCTTTACAGATATTAACTTACTAATCTGAACAATCACTCCATGAGGTACAATGATTAGTCCCATTTTACAGATGAGGAATCTGAGGCACAAAGCTTAAGAGACTTGGCTGAGCTTACACAGCTAGTGAGTGGCCACGTCAGGATTTGGACCTAGGAAGTGTGGCTCCCAGTCCCTGCTCTTAGCCACTGTGCTGTTGCTTGTTTGCATGCACTGCAGTGTCCCAGTTAGAGTCCTTCTCAGAACCCAAGGGCCCAGTAGAACTTCTTGGACCCTGATGGCAGCCTGGCCCGAACCTGAATATTCAGTGACCCAGACCGAACATTGAGATCTGGTTTCCTGTTTTCCCCATTCAGGGTTCTGTTCTCTAGTTAGGCGATGGCCCGGGCTCCAGACTTGTACCTCCTTAGCTTCCTTTATCATGCTCCTTAGCCCCTTCCCAGCATGATCTGCAGCTGGATGCTCTCTTGGGACACCCTGGGGACACCCTGGTAGCCCCCAAACACCAGGACACTTGCCAAAGGGCCACATAGCCCGTGACTAGTTAAGTTTGGATTCAAATTCAAGTCTGGCTCCAAAACCACATCCATTCACCATTCCCCATAGATTTCCGGTTACCTCCAGAGGTCTGCACTCAATCCTCAGGACTCCAAGATCAAGCCCAGAGCAGTTGCCCACTCTTCCTTGGCAATGCCAAGTAAGCCCAGGAACCCCAAGGCTGTGCTCCAGCCCAGACTCCATCCTTGGGGGCACCCCCGTTCTCCTGGCATGAAGTGGAAGAGAAGCAGAGTGCAGACTGTCTGTCCAGGTAAGCCCAGCTATCTGAGCTGCAGCTTGTTAGACTTTGGCTAATCTGTTATTAATTCCTTAGGAGCACCGAACAATCCTAACCAGATGCAAAAATCAATGGCAGAAGAAAAGACAGAGCAAGCTTCTAAGCAGAATGTGAGTGAGGAGAGTGGCTTTCAAAAGGCCTCAACAAACTATTTGAGGGGCAGCCTGTAAAGTGGAGAATAAATGACTTTTTTTTTTTTTTTTACATTGGTTCATATTTCTTTCCCAAGTTGGAAAGAGGAGAGAGGTAATGGGCTAGGAGGAGGGGCCTGGCTGGCCTCACAATGCCAAGATAATTATTGCTCAGTTCAAGCCTAAGTGAGTTTTTACTTTTCAGAGGCACAGAGAACACTTGGGGCTGCAATGGGTTTCCAAGTGATGGGAGTGAGCAATCAAGGTCAATTAGCAGTAATGGCATTGGCTGGAAAGAGCACCAACAACCCAGAGCACAGCCAGGGCCTTCCTGGATCTCCTTCGTGCCCAGCACGGAGGACATAGCTGAGCTAGAGGAAGACAGAAGCCCTGCTGAGGGCTGCACTGGGGAGGAGAGGCCCTGGGCACATGGCCTCTCTGTGTGAGGGCCACACTGCAAGCCTGACTCCAGGCGGCCAGGTTCAGTGCCAAGGCGCACGGAGCCATTCCTTAGCGCCACAGCCCCCCTCTGGCCGAACAGGCTGGGCTGGCATCGCTGCCCTCATGTTCTGCCAGGGGCCCAAGTACGTTAAAAGGGGCTGTCTGGGGGCCTTTGGGACCTTGGAGCAAGTTTATGGAGAATTTACAGCAGCCTACCAGGCCTTTGTGACCTGCCTGGTCACCCCCTTCACCAATCTGGCCCAATTTCTGTTGTTATCCCCTTCCTCACTCTGATGCAAACACGCTGGCCTCCTTGCTGTTTCTCTAACATGGTGGGCATCCTTTGCTTGAGCCTCTGCTGTATTCCCTTTGTCCCAATTGCTCCTTACCCAGAGAGTTCTTTCTTTTTTTTGTTTTGAATTTTATTTATCTATCTATCTATCTATCTATCTATCTATCTATCTAAGAGATAGCATGCGCAAGCACGCACTCAAGTTGGGGGAGGGGCAGAGGGAGAGAAAGAGAATCTCAAGCAGGCTCCATGCCCACCGTGGAGCCCCACCACAGCCTCGATCCCACAACCCCCAGATCATGACCTGGCCCGAAACCAAGAGTCAGATACTCAACCAGTTGAGCCACCCACGTGCCCTCACCCAGATATTTCTATGGCTTGAAATTTACCTCCCTAAAGTCTTCACCACTCACATGCACCTCAACGTAACCTATTCTAATCTCTCTATTTAAAAAGAAAAACCAGTCTCCTTGTTCTTTTCTTTCTTTCTTTTTTAAAGATTTTATTTATTTATTTGACAGAGAGAGAGAGACAGAGAGGGAACACAAGCAGGGGGAGTGGGAGAGGGGCAAGCAGGCTTCCCGCGGAGCAGGGAGCCCGATGCGGGGCTCGATCCCAGGACCCTGGGATCACGACCTGAGCCGAAGGCAGACGCTTAACGACTGAGCCACCCAGGCGCCTCATTCTTTTCTTTCATAGCACTCAGCACTTTCTAAAAATATATATACTTTGCTTACTTATTCTGTATTTATGTTTATTGCCTGTCTTCCCTCCACTACAGTGTAAGCTTCAGGGGCTCTCTCTTTGGCTCAGTCATGTATTCTTGCTTTCCAGAAAAGTGCTTGACACAAAAAAGACACTTGATAAATGTTGGCCGAACGAATGAATGAGGTGGACCCGTCTTTAGAGGTCAAACATCCCAACCTGCTTCTTCACAGGTGCAAGGCTTGAGAGCCAGAGTGGGGGGAGTGACTCACTCAAGGCCAGTCAGCCCATGAGCAGCGGAGCTGGGACCAGACGCATGTCTTTGAACCCCCATTCCGTGTTCTTTGTTCTCTCTCTCATTTGGTGGAGGGCAGAGATAATCTCTAGCAGTGTCTCCAAGCATGCAGTGTATCTGGGCCTCATTCCATCTTTAGCCTATGTTTGCTCTACCATCCATTAAAATGGTGAAGTGAATCAATTACTTTTGTTGTTTTTTCTAAATTGTGGCAAATTACACATTTGCCTCTCTTCTTGGGTGTGCCTCTTACTAAGTGAAAACGGGCCTTAAAGGGTAAGGAGAGGATCAGACACTTGAGCAGGAAGAGGCTTTCCCTCTTTCCTCTGGCAGGGGAAGAGCAGGGATCTGCTTCCTGGATCTATCTCTGCTGAGCACCAAGGTGCCAACTGTACACCTCATAGTTTAGTCAGTGCCTTAAAGGTGTCAGCAAGCACCCTTTGTTCAGGAATTTGTAAAGATAACAAATAGATGAGCTAAGAAGCAAGCCCATTGTATTTTGTTTACTCAAACAGCTAACCTAATCATAACTGTACTTGCATCAGCCACACACAATATGAGGCTTCCCTTCAGAGACGGCTGTGTGCTCACTGCCAACCTTCGCTCCCAGGGGTGACATTGACCTCTTTAGACACAAGTGACTTAAGCACCATCCAGTTCCCCCGTGCCCTGCCTTGTCATGATTCTGCATATTCTGCTAAACTGTTTCTGCTTCCTTGGCCAGCTCAGGACCATGCAGCTCCATGCTGTTCATCTCCTTGTTCAGAGCAGAGGCACCCCCAGCCCAAAGCTCTTAGGCATCTCTGCTTTGGGGGATCAAAGGTTAGCTTTCACATTCCTGAGTTTTCATTAGTATGTTTTTGTGTTTCCAGCTGTTTCTGGTCCTACGTGCTATTGCAGATACTGATGCAATAGGGAGAGAGTAGAGGTTTGCTATCCTTCTCTGGGAAGGGATAATGGCTGCTAGAAAATGCAGTAGCAGCTCAGTGCTCACTTGGGCCCCCAGAGCCAAGCCCAGCAGAGCAGGTGCCAGCACTGTCTATGGGGTCAACACAGACCCCACTTCATCTTACTGTTTTGCCATGATGATCCCCATTGCCCCAGGGCCTAGGTGGGCCAAGTCAGCTGGGTAGGGCTGGACAGGCAGATACTCCAGTTTGTTTTCCTCCTTTTAAATATAGAGACCAAGAGTGGGTGTCGGGCAGACAGCGTCCTCTGACATTAATTTAGCCTGGTCATTTTATGATTTTATTGCATATTGTGTTATTTTATTTTATGCCACCCCATTTTATTTTACAGGCTGTGTTGTTTTTGCAAACGACCTCCCACCTGACTCTCTGTATTTATTCCCGATCACAGCTGCAGTCCCGGGGAGGTCCTCTCTCCAGGGGGTTCTGGCAGAAAGGGGAGCATATGTCAGGGGGCTGGGGAAGCTGGCAGAAACCTCCCTTGTTCACTATTTTATTAAAGTCCACGTAGCAACGTATACAAACTGAGTCCCATGGTGGGAAAATTCAGAATAAATTACTGCCTGCAATTTCCTGTTCGGCACTGATTTTGTAAATTGGAGCCTTGACTGGGAATGGCCTGGTATTATTATGCCAACATCAGTATTGACATTCCCACGGTTTCCTTGCAAATCCCACATTGTCAGAGCCACATGGAGCCGAAGAGACCAGCCGGTGGAACCCCACATAATATGGATGAAGTTCAAAGACCCAAGGCCTGAGGCCACATGGTAAAGAGGGACAGAATCTGAACAATGACACTAGTTCAGCTTCTGCATCCCAAGGCACAGATTTAATAGGTGTGAAAGATGGCTTAAAGGCAGCCAACGTCTGTTATTGCTGACTGAGGGTCCCCATCAGAGCAGTTGGCCTGCATTTCCTCTTCATGTTGTTCCTTAATGTGTCTTTCTGGCCTGGTCTTGAGACTCTTTGGGTGATTTGATTCCTCTGGCAGGCAAAGGCAGCTCTGATCTGCTGAGAGCTGTTACAGGAACAGAAAGTGCCCAGGGCCTGGACAAACCAATTACCCAGTGCGACCCTCAATTTTGTCCTCTGGGCGAGGACCTGCCTTTGTCACATTGTGACAGATGGATGCAAAATAGCTCTGTAAATGGCAAGGCCTCCTTTGCAACAATAAAGCCAGGACCCAGGAGGGTTTAGTCCCATCTAAGGTGGCCAGCTCACCTCTTGAAATTGTCTCCCAAAGTCTCACCGTCCCCAGGCACCTCATCTTCTGACCCTCAATGCCAACACTACGCTGAGAGAGAGAAGCTGCCCTTTGTCATGCTTGCCAAGGGAACCTCATGCTGCCTGAGTGTGTGTGTGTGTTCTCCTGGGTCTGCCCACTTTCTTTTTACTCCTCTGCCAGTGATTGCATTGGGTTCCCTTTTTCATACCCTATAGAGTTGTGTTGGTTATCTACTGGTGTGTAACAAGTTGCCTTAAAACTGAGTGGCTTAAAACAGCAATGATCATTTTTTTTCTCCCTCACAATTCCTTTGGGGCTCACGTTCTGGAGCAGTGTGGCTGGCTGGTTCCAGCTCAGGATCTCTCAGGAGGCTGCGGTCAGATGCAGCAAGGGCTGCCCCCATCTGAAGGCTCGACTGGAGCTGGAGGTTCGACTCCCCAGGCGGTCTGCACACAGGGCTGCAGCTGGTGCTGCCGAATGGCAGGGGCCTCCGCTCTTCTCCACAGGGCAGTATGAGCCTTTTCACATCATGGCAGCTGGCTTCCCTTAGAGCAGAAGATCAGAGTCCAAGAAGAAGCGGCAAGGCTTTAAGACCTACCTTTTTTTCTCTGTAACATATTGGGTCACCCAGGGCCAACCTGAGGCAGTGCAAGAAGGAATCCCTTCTCGGGGGCAAGAATGGCCATGGGATCGTGGGAGGTTGGCTACTTCAGTCTACCTTCTGGCTCCTGAGGGTTCATATATTTCCCACATGAAAATACACTCACCCCTTTCCATGGCCCTCAAGTCTCATTACATTGCGGCATCAACTTGAAGTCCTGCGCCTTGTCATCTAATCGCTCCTTGGGTGAATTTCTCACCTACAGCTCTTCCTGTACAGTTCCTCCGGATCAATGGGCCTGTGGACTAAAGAAACACATCATCTCCCTCTACTTAATATGTAGCAGTAAGACAGGCATAGGATAACCATTACAGGTCCTCTTGTAAAAAAAAAAACAATGAGGGTAAAGAATGGGAGATACACAGGGATCCTTAGCAATTCAGAAATTCCTCTGGGCACATGGGTCTTTTCTGGGTTAGAACTCAGCACTGCTGCTTGGGAATGGCTCTCCATGGCTCCTGGCTCCACCCTCTGGGCTCAGGTGCAGATATCCTCTGCACCTGCCTCTCTTTTCCATAAGAAACAGTCATTGTGAGCTAAGTCTCTTCCTCAGCCTGCTTTCTGACAGCAGGTTGGAGGGCCAAAGACCTAGCTTCCTTTTGCACTGCCTCTGTACCTTTTAGCGCACACAGGCAGTGTTTCAGACATTGCAGTCACCTTAGAATCACTGGGCGTTTTCTGTGCCTCTGACTGGCGCTCGCTCCATGAGATCAAAGTCACGACCACAAATGTGAATGAGAGCAGCCCATTTCTACCTCGGGTTTCCTGTAAACCCGCTGTGGGACACCGCACTTAAGATTGCCAGAAACCTTACGGGTTACCGGTAAGGATCTATGAGGCACTTTTTTTTTTTCCCCCTGTTTGGATCACTGCCTTAAATATTTCCAAGATCTTAATAAAGGGTTTTACGTTGGCTCCCTCAGGTTTATCTTTAGACCACATTTTCCCGATGTTTTCCTAGATTTGATCTTTGCCTGGAGGCCATTTAACATTTTAGTATTACTCCTGTCTGGAATACTTAGGAATAAGACATTTTTATTTTCAAACTCAGCGAGTCCTGGCTCCTTTGTTCTCAATCATTCTTTCTTTAACCCGCCTTCTCTCCTTTCACATTTTATTATAAGCAACCAGGAGACAGGAGGTATGTCTGACGTGTTGCCTGGAAGTTTTCTTTAGTACATCATCCAGTTCATTCAGCACGCTTCCTACTTTCCGCTTTGTCACAAAAGACAGGGTTGCTATGATTTCCCTCACTATGTGTCATGGGCGGGATGGCTACGTCCCTCAGAGCTCATATATCGAAGCTCTAACCCCTAATGGAACCGCATCTGGAGACAGTTTGTGAGGCGGAGATGGAGGTAAAATGAGGTCATAAGGGTGGGGCCCTAATTTGTAGGGCTGGTGTCACTATGAGGAAGAGACACCAGAGCTCGGTCTCTCTACCACGGGAGGACACAGGGAGAAGGTGGCCACCTGCGAGCCAGGAGGAGAGCTCCCACCAGTGAGCGGGTTGGCTGGCCCCTTGATCTTGGACTTCCAGCCTCCATTCCCATTTTTTGTGAGAAATAAACTTCCATTCTGTAAGCCACCCAGTCTGTGGTATTTTGTAATGGCAGCCTAAGCCGAGTAACGCACTACCTCGCAAAGGTCCCTTTTTCTCCGTCTTCCAATATTATCTTCCCTACTCTCCCCTAAGCCCTCATGGGCAGCCTCCTCAAAGAACATCAGATTCCACATTTCTTCCCTACACTTCCAACCTCTGCCCTCAGAGTGACTGCTCCATTTTTAGTTTTTTTTTTTGTTATAGTAGCACCCTCTCCTCACTTCCAGGTACCAAAATCTGTATTAGTTATCTGTTGATGCTGACATAAATCAAACACCACAACGCTTATTGGCTAAAGCCATGATAGCTACTTATCGTCTCTCAGTTTCAGGAGCAGTTTGGTTGAGTGATTCTGGCTCAGGGTCCCACGTGAGGTCACAGTCAGATGATGTCCGGGCATCTTAAAGGCTTCTGGGCTCCTGTGTCTAAGGCCTGGGAAAAGAAGACTTGAGCAGCTAGGGGCTGGGACAGCCAGGTCTCCTCAGGCATCTTTCTTGGTGTGGTCCCTCCATGTGATTTCTCCAGCATGGCCCCCTTCCCGGCAGCCAGACTTTCACATATTGGCAAGAAGGGTTCCCAAGGCATGTGTTCCAAGAGAGAGTCAGGCGGAAGCTGATTGCTTTTATGACCTAATCTCAGAAGTCACAGGGCATCACGTCCTCTGTACTCCACTGGTGAAAGTAGCCATGAATCCAGACCAGATTCAACAGGAGGGACATAGACCCCACCTCTTGGTGGGAGGCACGAAACTCACCTTGTAGCAAGAGCTCGTGGCAGAAATATATATATATATAGTCATTTTTGGAAAATACAATACATAAGTCTTTGGTGAATATTTGTTGTTCATTTAGTTGGTTTATTGACCTTGTGGCTAAATCCTCCTCCTTCTCATAATGGTAATAGTAAAAGTAGTCATGGTAATAACAACTAAAACAGCCATTTATTCAGTACTTATTTCTCTGTGAAACGACCTCTTTTAAAATGTCCTTTTTGATTGAAGTGAAATTTTTATTCAGTGGAGTTCACAAAGCTCAAGCGTATAGCTCGGTGAATATTTATACATGTTTACGCACAGGTACCCAGACCTGGAACCAGCTATAGAAAATTTCCAGCCCACCACAAGGCTCCCTTACATCCTCCATGGTCAGTGCCCCTGCTGCTCCCAGGGAAACACTATTCCAATTCCTGTCACCACAGATTAGTTTAGCCTGTTCTTGAACTTCCTGTAAATGAATCATAGCACATGGACTCTTTTTTTGTCTAGCTTCTCTACGATGTGAAGCATTTCCTCCACATCATCCCACTTACTTCTCAGGACAATCTTACGAGGTTGTCAGGGATTCACATCCTGGTTATATGCTGGCTAAGTGTGTTTTGTTTGGCATGCACAATCTTTTTAATATATTTTGAGTTTGATTACTTTTAGCATTAGACGTTGTTCTTTTATACCCAGGACAAGTCATTTGTTGTCCTTGCCTGGCACCTGTAGGCATTGAGTTTGCAGACTCAAAGGGGAGCATTGTTGCCTCCAGCTGCTGAGAAGATAGTGATTCCCCAAGGGGTTAAAAAAAACACACGTGTAAAATCTCACACTAAGTTGATGGCAGCAGTGGATTTGAACTCAGGCCCATCTTCCTCCAGCCCTCCCATGTCAGGATCAGAGAGGAGAAGTTTGTTCCCAAATGCTATTGTTTCAGACTCTGAAACGCCCGCGTCTGCAGTCTCACTGCCTCTGCCTTAGCCTGTGGGTAGTGCTGGGCTATTGCGACCAGCCCCGGCCCAACCCCTGCCCACTCGGACGCTCACCGAAAGCATCTCCAAACTCATCTAGTCCTTCCAGCCCCAAGCACATCTGTGTTCCTTTCTTCCACACCTTTGTCACGCTGGTTCCTTCTGCCAGGAATGCCCACCCCTGCTTGGTCATTCAGCCGTCAGAGCTCAGCCAAAGATGCTATTTTCTCCTGGTCGCTCGCACCTCCCCCAGCCAATCAAATGTGTCTCTTCTCAGTCCACTGAGAAGCGGTGTTTAAAATTGCAATGCAATTACCAAATGATGGGTCAGAATGACCTGGAGCAATTCTTAGAAATGTGACCAAAGTATTGGTCCCATAAAGGTTAAAAAAGGAACCGAATTGCATGCATTTGATCTCTGCTAAATGCATCACTAACTTTTATTGATTCTTAAGAAAGAGAGATGAGAGGAGTCTGTGCTTACCCCCACTGGGTGCCAAATGAACAAGCAGTTGGAAGTTTATTACTTCCAGATATCCCACTTGCTTTCCAGATACCCCACTGGGTTTCAATTCCATTGCAGCAACACTTGCTGAGTGGACCTGGGCTTGACCATACAGGCTGGGAGTCCGGGAGAAAAAAAACAGGAGGCTGCATACCTGGGCTGGTGTGAGTCAGGTCCCGGCTGCGGGCTGTGTGGGGAGATAATGGTGGGATGCAGCGGACCCGGGTACATCACTAGCGTTCAGGGTTCTTGATCCAGCCCTGTCTTCTCTTTGTGGGATATCATGCCAGTTATTAACTTCTCGGGGCTTCCGTTTCCTTATCTGAAAAATGCATATTTCATGTAACTGTAGTAGTTTTTGGACCTGGCGCAAATATTATTGCCCTCAGTGGGACTTCGCTTTTCCTCCATGTTTTGAAGTTGGAGATGCAGCATTATATTTTCTTACGGCAGTACCCAGACAATAAAATAACGGAAGCTATCTTTTACTGGACAGTTACTATGTGCCAGCCTCGTGCTTGGTAGGCCTATCCCCACACAACCACAGCCATCTCCAGACAGATGAGCACAACAAAACTCAGACAGGGGAAGTGACTTGCTTGGTGTCACAGGGTTGGTGACTTACTGAAATCTGACTGAGCAAGTACTTGGTAAAATAAAAGGTTCGTGTCTCGTGTCTTCTCCTGCTTGGTATCTTCCCATCACTCCTTCGTCTTTTGATAGCAAATCTGGCCTATTTGGCCAAGGGCAAGGTGAGTCATGGTACCCCATGCCACTGGGCTCAGAATTGGTCTAGGAGGTTGTACACAGTGTGGGCTTCCCAGGGTTTTCCAAATTGTAGCCTGAGGGACGACAGCTCTTTTCCTTCTTGGGTCATGGCTTTGGAAGAATGAGGACCTACAGGTAGTCAGGTTCTATCTCACAACTGGGGAAAAAGAGCAGAGGTGGAGAGAGAGAGAGAGAGAGAGAGAAAGACAGACAGACAGATAGCAGAGATGAAAGCTGGGTCCCTGGTTCAGCTCCTGCGCTGGACCTGGTTGTGTGCGGCCCACATTCTCCTTCAGGAATTGTGTTAGCTTGGTCTGCTTTAACTAGATACCACAGACTGGGTGGCTTAAACAACAGAAATTAATTTTCTCAGTGATCTGGAGACTGAAGAGGCCCAGATCAAAAAGCCAGCCCGGCCAGATTCTGGTGAGAGCTCTCTCCTTGGCCTGCAGATGGCTGCTTTCCTACCGCGTCCTCTCAGGGCAGACGGAGAACTCTGGTGTCTCCTCCTCTCTGTATTAGGGCACCGGTCCTACTGGATTAGGGCCCACTCTTACGACCTCATTTCATCTTAACTACCTCCTCACAGGTCCTATCTCCAAATATAGTCACGTTGGGGTTAGGGTTTTGACATATGAATTTTGGGGGGGCACACACTTCCCGTCCGTAATAGGAACAAAGGACGGTTTACCTCAAGCTGCAGGCAGAAGGCTCGGAGCCTTCTGTCTCCTGCGGGGATCGCCTCAGCTGACAAGAGCCGCCTTGCCTAAGGTCATGCCCCCGTTTCCGGTGGGTTACCAAGGCCTGGCCTCCGCCTCCATTCAGGACAACTGGCAAATGTGAGGGGGTGAACTCCGGCACTCTTGCCCCAGCACTGAAGGGTCATCCCAGCTTCAGAATACCCCCAGTGGTGGTCCAGGGCTTCTGTCAAGAATGATAGGTTCTCGAGTTCTCCCCACATCCCTTCCAGTCCTGTGCTCTCCCTACCAAACTCCCTCCAGGCTAATATTCATCTCAGAGCCCACTTCTCCGGGAACCCAATCCACCCTGGCTCCTGAGGCTGTAATTCTGTGAGCTACTCCAGTGATGTGTCCTTATTTTTTGCTTAAGTCTCAAATTTGATTTTTGTTACTTCTAACCTCATAAACACTTCTAAAAGATTCCCGACGAGTCCAGTGAGGAAACTGCCTCCTCCCTCAAACTAGAAGACCCTCCGCAGAGGGCTAGTGGGACCTGGGCCCAGGAGTGGAGGGGCAGGGAGGTCCAGGGCCATGAGTGGATGGCATAGTGGCATTTGAGCACTGCTGGCTAGTCCATGGGGTCCTGATGGAGTTTCCAGAAGTAGCACGTTGCATGTACCTCTGTGCAAGCCTGGAGTCCAATCTACCTCATGTTCTAGTTCTCCATCCTCATGCCTCATCTCACCCTCTCTTGGCTCTGGGACCCTGAATTCTCCATGTTTCTTACTCCTCGGTTTCTTCACAATCTTCTCTTCCTTCACCCTGGATTTACATGTCAGTGTGCCCCAGGATTCTGCGTTCAGACCTCTTCTCTTACCCTTTTTATTCTTTCTGCTTGAACTTGCCAGCCACTTTTGGCTGAGCCTTCCAACTCTATCTCTAGCCTAAATCATCTCTGAATTCCTGAGTGATCCATCCAACTGACTGCTGCAGGGCATTTACCTGGAATTGGATAGTGCTGTGGGTTGAATTGTGTCCCCCTCAAAATGATATGTTGCAATCCAACCTCCTGTACCTTAGAATGTGACTTTATTCAGCAATTGGATCTTTACAGAGGTAATAAGTTAAAATGAGGTCATTAGGGCACCCTATCCAGTATGTCTGGCGTCCATACAAACAGGGGAAATTTGGACACAGAGACACACATGAAGACGAAGACAGAGATCTGAGTAATTCAGCAGGAGCCAAAGTACCCCAAAGAGGGCCCGCGCACCACCA